CACCAGTAGCACACAAGTGTCACATTGATTTCCTTATCATATTTTGCCTCCTCTAAGATCTATAATCCAACAGAGACGCCGATTAGATCATAACTACAAAAAATCAATCAAAATGCGTGTATGATTCAACTTAATATATTTTCCCATTTCGCGTACATCGAGCCTACGAATGTACAGAAAAAGTCAGCGTGAGCCGCAGAAGTATAAATGGTGAAAACTGACATCCTTTCAGCGAAACGCTTGTCTTATATCTATATCAGTAAACTTCTGTAATATTTCAAAGGGATGTTATGTTTATCTCCAATTATTGTACGCCCGCAGTCTATGTAGCTATGAAGGTTTAATTCATTCGTCCTTCCTACTATCGTCCTTTTTCTTAATCAAGGATGTTTCTTCCCTTACTCCGCAGAGCTTAAACTTTTACAAGAAGTAGACTTCGAAACCCGTGAAGAACTTGCACGTATGTTTGGGAACGGCCCATATAGTCTTGGGGGTTGGAGGCAAGTTGCTGCCGAGTACGGCATGAGAGAGAGAGAGAGAGAGAGATATCAGGTCCTGCCAATTCCAAGGAACCTGGAAAAAAACGTCATAGAGTTTCTGGGTGATTCTCATCCAGACCTGACGGTTTACAGCTTCTGCAGGATGCTAAAGCACCGCAAAATAAGACGCTTTGACATTGTAAAGCTCCTAGAAGATCACTTTTAACCAAGACATAGAGAGATTAATTACCCTCTGGTTCATTGTGAATTACCTGCAAGTAAACGCTACTGAAACTCAGGCAATGATATGGGGAAATCTCGGTACCCATACAATCTTTTTATTGTTGATAATTCCATGCCCTGTCTCCAAACGTTTTCGAATCAGCCAAGCGTTCATGATCATGAAGCAATTGTTTCCCATGATGATCTCAATAAGTCTTCCTTCTTATATCTCAGCAGGACTCTGATATGGTTAAGTGCTTGACTATTTAAAGCCTTACAAGTCAGCGACAATTTTTTATTCTTATTAATCGTTAACCGTCAAAATCGAAAAAAGTGAACAGTCGACCGTAAAAGAAACTGCCCTATCCCCCCCCCAAACATTGAGACCCTCTTCTGCGTGTTTACATTAATTTTGTAATAAACAACGTTAAAGCGTTTTGTTCCTTCTTAAATAAATCAAACAAAAAAAATTGCAGGAAAGTTTTC